ATACCACATATTTCCAGAAGAATCAAGCAATCTGTCTTAGAGGAGATCCATCCAACGTGTTCCTTAATGGCAAGACTTCCTCTCCTGTTCTTTGAACGGAAGGACCTGTCCCTGGAGAAGGACATCATGCTTAGTAAAGGAAGGGGAGGAGCATCGAAAAAGTAAAGCCCTCAGTGAGATGAACTGACACAGGGAGTTGCAAGAGTGGCACAAACATAACAACAACTGTGAAAAGGGCCAGTGTTTGGTTTTGCTGTTCCTATGAGTCAGAGGCGATTCAAGAGGACCTAGCAACAACTCACGTAGAAGCGTACACACTATATGTATTTACATACGTACTAAAGTGATCTCTGAGACAAGAGTCTAAAGAATCAAGGAGAGGGGAAGATACACTTTCCAAAATTTCATCTTATTCTTTTCTATCATTTGTTTTATTTTTAACTAACGTTGATGAAAAAGCCATGACACAGAATGAATTGTTCTCAAAGACGATTGGATAAGGAAAGTGAAGATCCTAGGTTTGACTAACCTACAAAAGGTGAGACTAGGCTCTCACTGCCATCAAGTCAATTCCAACTCACAGCAACCCTACGCGACGGTAGAACTGGGTTTCCTCGGAGTTTGAGACTGTAACTGTTTACAGGAGCAGAAAGCTTCATCTTTCTCCCAGAAAGTGACTGGTGGTTTTAAACTGCTGACCTTTTGGCAGTACACTCGGTCCTGGGTACTGGAAGGCCAACTTGTATACATAAACGTGGATCTCCACACAGAGGAGAGCTACCCAAAGGTACTGCCTCAGGAGGTGGTGAGAGGCACATCGCAGGTGTTCATCGCAGGCTAAGGGGTCATCTTGAAGAGCTATGGTTTAAGGAATTCCTCTTCCAAGTCTTAGGTATTAGACATTTGGCAGTTAGATGGACATTTCTTGCTGTGGTGCCCAGTAGCGACTGCATCCTTAAATGGTTATCCAGAAACATTCAAATTATGGTGGTGCCAGTTGTGGTTGAAGCAATTCCAATTCATAGGCACGGATTAAGTAAATAAGTAAGATAAATCAACGTTGTCTTCAATGTTCGAGACCCTTAAATAGACAGCTATTCCTAAATAAGAATATACCAGTTGCCAGGGAGTCAGCTCTGAGGCACGGTGACCCCCTGGGTTACCAAATAGAACTGCTGCACTTCAGAGGGCTTTCAGGGCTGTGATCTATGAGAAACACCAGACCTTGTGTTGGAACGAACAAACTTTCAGTTAGTAGTTGAGAATGTAGCCATTTGCTCTACCTAAGGACTCCTAAGTAAGGATCACCCCTACATATACATTCATTTTTCAGTGAAACATGGTGTCATTCAAAATGAGTATTTCACAATGTTAAATCTTGGTTCAAAATGTGGAGGCTTTGTTTAAACCCAACTCAGAATAGTATTAGTTAAAGGCAGCTTTTGGCTTCAATCAGATGCGCATTAAACATGTAATCATCTTAGCATTCTTTGGGTCCTAATATTTCAAAACTCCATTCAAACCTTTTTCCAGGTTGGACTACTCTTTTATGGCTTGTCTTTATGAATCTAGCAAATTGAGTTAATATCAGAATACTTCAGTGGTTTAAGAATACTTCAGTGGTTTAAGATGGAGCATGCCACGTTTGTGGACCTACTTTCCCTGGAACGTAGAGCACACACAGAGAAATAGGGTTTTTCTGAGATAATGAATTGCCGTAGCTTCAGTGCCATTCGGGATCTGCCAGGATGACCTCTGAATGACAATCTTTGCAGAGAATCATTAGAATGAAGAGAGCTGGGGCAGGCAGGCAGACACAACCATTTACGGAGTGGCACTGGAATCTGCCACTTGAGAGTGTTGACTTAGAAAATCATTACATTTCTGTGGACATCCATCACTCTCATCTAAAGACAGGGCAGGGGTGGCAGGGGTGTCAAAGCAGAAAAACGGCTTTGGGGGAACCTTGGATATTAGAGTCAGGAGACCAGAAACTGGCTGTTATTTACTAACTGTTTGACTTTGGGTAAGTCTCCTACCTTCTGGAAGAAACCATATCTTTGGACAAGTATCAAAAGTGAAGAAAGGGTACAAATGTATTCTCATGGAGTTTTAAGTGTCAGAGCACAGCTCTATCTAAAACCAGCTAGGACAATTCTTTTATAAATGGGCCGTAAAGAAGCTACCAGATTTTTCACCGAGAAACAATAGTGCAGAAGTTTGAGCTCAAGTCCCTAGTGTCGGGCCCATGCTCCTTACTCTACCTATTCTGAGTTCAATAGGGAAATAAGGTAAGTGTCTAAATATTCCATGTAGTATAACTTGCTATATAGGTGTAAGTCATTGTTAAGATGAAGCTGTAAATTCATTAGACAGACCTGAATATACATATTTCCACTCATTAAGTGTTTTTGTTAGCGCAAAAGCCTCCATAAACCACCAAGTTTATATGCATATCAGAATATAATCAGTTGGATAAATTGACAGGTTACTGCTGCTTTAGAAATGATCCATGATTTTAATTAAAAATCCTAAACAAATGGATATATTTACACTGCGCAAAGCCATACTTCAAGGATCTTAGAAGAAAAACTATAATTAGACAAGACAGATATAGTTGGACTAGTAAATGATATGTTACCTAATTTTTAAAAAACCTCATTCTCGTTTAAATGGAGAGAAAATGTTTTGAGAAACGATGTACAAATGCGCTTTACACAATTGATGTGTGTATGGATTGGGATAACAGTTGTATGAGCCCCTAATAAAATGTTAAAAAAGAAAAAAAAACAACCCATTCTCAGGGCCCAGCTCATCATCCAAACAAGTTAAACAGCACCTTCCAAACTTCATTCTCAGTTGCAACTATGCATCAACACAGTCAAAGATCCACTGTGCTACTACTGTGCCAGTGGCACAAGCCGCACCATTCCCATATCCAGAAAGAAGAGCTGCAGTCTTCCTGTAGGGCTAGTTTCATCAACCCCAAGAACCAGTCCCTGGCAACAGCACTTGAGATATAACAGTATCCTAACTGAAAACGCGCTCCCGTTACAAAGTACTTAATCAAGGCAATGCATTCTTCTCTGCACAACACGGACTGAAGCAGCAAACAAGGGAAAGGCTGGTTTGGTGAAAAGGACAACCTTGAAACACCCAAGTTTTTCAGGCTGCTTTGTGCTGGGGTCCCTGCGTCGTGAAAGGGGTTAAGCTCTGGGTGCTAACCGAAAGGCTGGGTGTTTAAGTCCACCCCAAGGCACCTTGGAAGAATAGCCTGGGGAATCTCCTTCTGGAAAACCAGCCATTGTTGGTATCAACTCAATGGCAACTGGTTTAGGGCTTTTGTTTGTTTGGCCCAGTGTTAGTGACTGCCCCTCCTGACGGTGACCACCCTAGAAGTCACATTTGTCTCATTCACCACTGTGTTAATATAGGGTCCTGTGACAGAGCAGGGCTGAGGAAATATATGCTGCATTTATTCTAGAACAGCACGTTGTTGTTTTTTAAAGAGACAAATTCCAACTTTTAAAATGCAATCCCAAAGAAGAATGAAAATGCATGAGAGTTCACCTTTCTTTTGTTCCCCTGAAACATGGCTCTATTGCACTCATTCTAAATGTGTTCCTTTTCAATACAATTGTTTACTCACATGCCCACCATGTTCCCAAAAGGGTTAGTGTAGCATCATTCAGAATACAGGGATCTTCTTAAGATCTAATAGGAGACCACATCCATGCAAAAGGTAGCTTATATGTGATATGCCACAGCTTTGGAAAACAAAAATCAAATACCACATACTTCAATACCAAAGTCCTGAAACCACCAGGCCCTTGGAGGCAATAGTTGCTTAATTTCCAATGGTCATGAGAACCTGTCCCACCAATACCTTACTCAACTTCAGTAAGAGCCTGCCAGGGTAAAGTCTTTTTCAGCCCAGAATATTCGAACATCTGTGAACAATATTTCACCACTTATATGAGGAAAAGAGAAACCGGTAGCCCAGGGAGGGCCACTACATGATGAAAAGAAACCAGCATTCCTTTGCAAAGTAAATTCAGGTGGGTCTCATTGCTCGCTGCCCAGAAGGCTGAACATGAATATTTCCACTGGATTATAAATTGTCTCTATTTAAACCACCTGGTTTCTTAAGTAAGACAGACACACAGCTATCGTTTTACTCCTGGTCCAACAAATAGTAGATGACTGTTTTGCTATGGAAATTGGTAAAAGAGAATTTGCAAGAAAGACAATCCAACTGGCTAAAATTCTTCCTAGAAGATGGTTGCAAGCCCAGATTCAAAGTTTAGAGGCATTTCCATTATCTCTGCGTTTAAAGGGTTATAAAATATCCGTACGCTCAAAGCGAAAGGATAGAGATAAAGGAAATCAAAGCCAAAGCAGATCAAATAAATGTCATTGAGCAAACCATAAAGGCTGTGTAAAGAGATTCTAGATCTCAGGTAAAAACTGCTCCGAGAAAGGTAGCCGCATTAATTGGAGCAGACAGAAGAGTTAGGACGAGGCAGGGCTTTACAGCGTTGCAAATAAAAGCAGCAATACACGAATCACAATTGGGATAAACGCCGTCCGCGAGCTGCAAAAACCATCAACGCTTTTGCTCCTTCACCTCTCCTCCCTCAACTAGCTGGGTCTTGAAAGCCGCTGCCGCTCCCCGCCCTCTTTCCGAGCCGCTCCTCGCGCCGCCCCCTCCCTCGTCCTCCCCACTCCGCCCCTCCACTCTCCCTCCCCTCCCTGCCCCCAGCTGGCGTAGTCGGCAGCCTAGAGAGATTAAGGGGTGCTCGCGGTAGTCACTGGGCCTCTGGACAGACCTAACGTTGCCTAGCTCCCTGCACCAAAGAAATTAGCGACGCGACACCCTGCTGGTCTGGGGCGCCCCGCTCTGCACCCCAGGGCTGGGGTGAGAGCCTAGGGCAGTCGGCTGGGCCCCGCCTGGAGGGCCCGGCGCTACTCGCGGCTGCGCTCCCAGAGGGCAGCGCTACCTGAGCTGTCCATGGTGCTGGCGCGATCCGGAGGGTGCCGGGCGGGACTCCGCGCCGCCGCCGCCGCCGCCGCCCCGGCGTGCACTCTCGGCTTGCCGCCACCCCCGCCGCTCCCCGCACTTAAGTCCCCATTACTGTCCACCAGCTGCAAGGACTCATAACCATCGTTGCTGGTCTTTTTCCGGTAGCTCCCGAGGAGGCTCATGGGCAAGCCCAGGGAGGGGAAAATAAATCACCTGGGAGAGGGAGAGGAAGATGGAAAGGGAAGAAGGAGAAATTTGCAAAGAGGGACAGAAAGCAATCAAGTGCCCGGCATGACGCAAAGAGGAGGGGGGAGAGGGCGCGGCCGCCCGAGGGGAGCTTTGCGGGGCGCTGGGGAGCCGCCGCCCTGGGCACAGCACGGCTCGGGGCGCGGGCAGAGCGAAGCAAGGAGGGCGGACGCGGTGGGCGGGTGCGCGCGTCCTCGGAGCCGCCGCTGAGCCGCCGGCCCTGCCGAGCTCCGAGCTCCGGGCCCGGGCCAGCCACCCTCTGCTGGGAAGTGCCCGGAAGCAATCCTATAGGTGTCGCCGCGTAGCCCCGTCGGTCGCGCAGCAGGGCAGCTCCAAGCGCAGCTGGCCCGCGGGGAGGGAAGCAAGGGAAGGGAGGTTGGCTGCGAGGGGGGACTGAAAGCGGAAAACGGAGCGGGGAGGGGATGGGAGGGGACTACTACGACTGGGGGAGGGGCGGGTTTTGCGCGTGTAGTAAAAAGAAAGGGTTGGGTGTCTCTGACCCGGGAGCTGTGGGTACCAGGGTTATCGTGGTAAGATCCAGACACGCCCAATTCGTATAACTTAGCCTATATTTGCTGGAAGCTGCTGCAAGTCAAAAGCCCCCGACCGCAACCGTCCAGGAGGGCTGGTTCGTAACTGGACTGGGCAAGGAAATACTGTGTTACATGCCACGTTCTACGCGTGTTGGCATATAAAGAAGCCACGTTCTACGCGTGTTAGCATATAAAGAAGCCGCAGCAGTTTGCATTTTTCACACAGAATGGGGATGAACCCAAAGTTAGGAACCCAAGAGTGGGTTATCCTAACTCTATACTGCAGTTAGGGTTCATTTCAACCAGGTGAAGAGATGGGAGCACTTAGCAACTCTTTGTTGATGAAGAAATGGGGCCGGACAAAGTCTGAGTTGGGTGCAATCCCAGATCTAACATCATTTACCTCGGGCCTTGGAGAAAAGTCTTTATCACTCCACTGGATTCAGAAGATGGTTGCAACGCAAGAGAGCTAAGATCCCTCTTTCAATTCTCTAGCCCGATTCTACTACACCCAAACACATTTGTTCGTTCTCTCTCGCTCTCCCCCTTACCCCCACCACTTTTTTCTTTCATGGTTCCAGGCAAAGCAAATAGTCTCATTATCAGAGAAGAATTCATCAGTTAATGAAGCTTAAGCACCAACAATACCCCCCCGTGTTTTTTTTTGTTTTTTTGCAAAAACTCCTTTAAAAAGGTGTGTGCCTAACTTTACATTCATAATTTTGTATTCTCATGCTTAAAGAGAATCCCAACACTATGTGTCAGGCCTCACAAAGCCTGTGTATAACTCCATTAAGTACTAAAATGCATTGATAAAAGTGTACACTTTTATTTGAAATTGTAAGACTGTAGATTTCAATCTCATTGTCTGGCAGTTTGTCGCACTGTGGTGGCTCGTGTGTTGCTGTGATGCGATGCTATGTCAGCGGTGTCAATGGGCCAGCAAGGTCACCCATATTGAACAGGTTTCCGTGGAGCTTGCAGACTAAGAACAGACAGAAGGGGTCAGCTCCCCACTTCTGAAGAAGAGGATGCTGAAACTCTTATGGATAGTTTCAAAGGACTGTCAAATACTGAAAGCATAAACAACATTGTCAGCGGTACTGCCCACGCATGGGTGCATCAGGTCCTAGGGTCCTCAAATAGTGACTGAAAGAGAGTTGGCTTCTTTGAGGGGACTGGACCATGGTGATCTGAGTTAGGTAATGCCTATGGAAGTAGAACTTTCTGGATCTTCATTTGCTGACATGGCACTACTCACGGTAAAGAAAAACAGCTTTGAAAATCTTCTAATGATCAGATCTTGGAATGTACATATGAAAAGTATGGATTTTGGAATGACAGGAGGCATTCATTGTCAGAAAGAATCTTGCTACATCCATCATGAAGTGTTATGCTATCTGTGATTGGATTTTATCTCTCCACCTTCAGGGAAATTCAATCAATATAACTATTATTCAAATTTATACACCAACCACAAAAGCAAATGATAAAGAAATTGAAAAATTCTACCAGCAACCTCAGTCAGAAATTGATCCAACAAGTAATCCAGATGCACTGATAGTTATTGGTCCCTGGAATGCAAAATTTAGAAACAAAGAAGGAATGGTAGTTGGAAAATATGGACTTGGTGACAGAAATGAAGCTGAAGATCTCATGATAGAATTTTGCAAAACCAATGACTTGTTCATAGAAAATGCCTTTTATCAACAACACAAAAGGTGACTATACACATAAACTCCCCAGACAGGTTACACACAAATTAAATTGACCACCTCTATGGGAAGACACAATGGAGAAACTCAATCAGCAGCTAAAACCAAGCCAGGGGCCAACTGTGGAATAGACCATCAATTGCTCATCTGTAAGCTCCAGATAAAGCTGAAGAAAATGAACACAAGTCCACAGGAGCTAAAATACGACCTTGAGTCTACCCCACTTGAATTTGGAGAACATTTCAAGAACAGAATTGACACGCATTGAACACTAATAACTAGGGACCTGATGAGCTGTGGGAGGACGTCAAGACCATCATCCATGAAGAAAGCAAAAAGTAATTTTTAAAAAATGAAAGAAAGATCAAAATGGATGTCAGCAGAGACTCAGAAACTTGCTACTAATCATAGAATAGTTAAAGTAAATGGAAGAAAAGGAAGAAGTCAAGGAGTTGAATTGAAATCTTCAAAGGGCAGCTTGAGAAAACAAAGCCAAGTATTATAAAGAAATGTGCAAGGACCTCGAGTTAGAAAACCAAAAGGGAAGAACAGGCTCAGTATATCTGAGAGTGAAAGAACTCAAGAAAAAAATTCAAGCCTTGGGCTGTAATTTTGAAAGTTTCAATAGGGAAAATATTGAATGATGCAGGAAGCATCGAGAGAAGATGGAAAGAATATACAGTCACTGTACCAGAAAGAACGAGTCAACTGCCTACCTTTTCTGAAGATAGCACATGAACAAGACCCAACGGTGCTGAAGGAAAAAGTTCAAATTCACTGAATACATTAGCCAAAAGCAAGGGTCCAGGAATTGAGGGAAGACCCACTGCAATGTTCCAACAGATTGACGAAGCATTCACTCATCTATGCCTGGTATTTGGGAGACATCTATGAGGTCAACTGACCGGAAGGGATCCATATTTATGCCCTTTCCAAAGAAAGTAACCCAACAGAATCCTCAAACTACAGAACAGTATCATTGATATATGGCACACAGGGAAAGTTTTGCTTAAGATCATCCGAAAATGATTGCAGCCTCACATTGACAGAGAACTGCCAGAAGTTCAGGCAGGCTTCAGAAGCCAACACAGAACAAGGGCTATCATTGCTGATGTCAGATGAGTCTTGGCTCAAAGCAGGGAATACCAGAAAGATGTTTCCTGTGTTTCATTGACTATGCAAAAGTGCTCACTGTGTGGAACATAATAAGCTGTGGATAACCTTGAGAAGAATGGGAATTCCAGTACACTTCATTGTGCTCATAAAGAACTTGCACATGGATCAAGAGGCAGTTTATGTGAAAGAACAAGGTAATCCTGGGGGGCACCTGAGCAGAGCTTTCATAGTATGCAACACCATTAGTGCAACCAATGGTGCTGCCTGGGAAGGTTCTCTCTGGTCACAGTGAATTTTTTCATAAAAGCAGTTACACTTGAACCTCGTTTTTTGTGATGGCCAATTTAAGAGAACAGTGTGAGGCTGTGATTTTTTTTTTTTCCTGCTCAAGAAAAATGTTGCAGAAACTGTTGTGATGTTGAACACATCTTACAAGGACAGAGCTATGGCGAAAACTCAAGTGTACATGTGGTTTTCTCATTTCAAAAAAGGTGAAATATCAATTGATGATGAACCTCATTTCTGGACATCCATCAACTTCCAAAACAAATGAAAATGTTAACTCATAGGGCATTTGGAGTTCATTCCACCAGGTCAGACTGTTAATCAATCTTTCTACTTAGAGGTTTTGAAAAGATAGCATAACAGTGTGTGACCAAAAAACGGCCTGATTTGTGGCAGAAGGGGGACTGGTTTTGCCTCAACAATGCACCTGCTCAGGCAGCCATGTCAGTGTGTCAGTTTTTGGCCAAAAGGCAGCATGCCTCTCTTGCCCCATGCACCTTACTCAGCAGGCCTCGCTCCCTGTAACTTTTTTTGGTTTGTTTCTGAGATCTGAGAATGAAGAGGGACATGAAAAGACAGCAATTTGATGAAGTAGAAGAGGTGAAGAAAAAAATGAGGGAGGTGCTGTCACCATCCAAACAAATGAGTTTGAAAAAATGTTTCCAAGAATAGAATCACAGATTTGACAAATGCCGTCAGTATAATGGAAAGTACTTTGAAGGTGAAAAGGTTGTTTTGTAAAAAATAAATAAATCACTTGTTGTTCCCTTGTCCCTGGGTTTGTTAACACCACTTCCTTTCCCCACACAAGTGATCCAAACTGGTGGTGAGGTGGGTGTGGGAAACCTGGTAGGGCATGATCAAGGGTAATGTAACAAAGAGGAATTGCTGAAACCCTGGTGGGGACTGAGCATGATAATGGGACAGGAGGAAGGTCAAGGGAAATAGAGGAAAGAG